TTGGAGGGGTGAGTTAGAGGGAGGAGGCTTTGAAGGAACGGTGGGTTTTTTTTCTTCAATTCAGTTTTGTCAGTTTCTGAGCTGAGCGACACATTATTAACCAATATGAAAGCCTCGCTAATTTCAAATCACACACGGAGCTGGAGAGACCAACACGTATACAACGACATACAATATTTGGAACTTAATTTTTATTTTCTGCTTGACGACTTTGTTCTGTTGCCTGCATCTGCCCCTTCTTGACAGTCATGTATTGGTGATGACATATTTTATTTTGCTACGTGACTTTTCATTATAACTGCCAAAAGGGGTGTGCGTGAGGCCAGGCTCTTTAAAAGGGAGGTTGAGAAATAGACAGGACCTATCATATGATGGTTTTTTATTATTTGTGGATGATTGTTTGTCAGTCTTTCTTGATCCTGTAGACACAATTTAGATCATTTTGGAGGAGGGTTGTTTCGCCCTTGCTTGTTAGATCCAACTCTGGTTGAGTTGGATCCAGCATCCCGGCAGACAGAGATACTTAATAAAAAACAACTTCCCACAGTGAAATCAAGCCTTTGCATGACACGCGAAAAAGCCCCGCCATAGAATCCCAGAAGCTTGTCTACATTATATTTCTGAGTATGAAAACAATACACACTTTGTGTGAGTGAGTGATTGGTGGGTGGTCTGGTGTGGTTGCTCTTTGTTTCCTATCAAACGTCTATTGTCCTGATCTCTCTTCCTTTTCATTTTGTTCGTAACTCTCTTGTGGTGTATCTACTCTTCGGCTCTCTAATGATCCTATTGTGTCGCAAGCAGTGGCGGTGGGTAGTGAAGGGCTCACGGGCTTTAGCCCCTACCCCCTCCCCACCCACCACCCCCAACTCTAACCCAAAGTAAATGAAAGTTTCTCCATAATGAAATAAGCAGTTGAAACCGTTATGGTCGCACGCAATGAACACAGAGTGATCAACTTGGCAGCTTGCTCGCTTATCCAATCACTGTTGTCACCGCTTACAACTAACCCAGCAGCAAATCAAATGTCTTTAGGGCTCAGAGAAGATGAGCCCTTTTCCCATAGCCCTTCCTCAATGAAACTTCTTGTAAAAAGGTAGAAGACTGGGAAAAAATAACACTGTACCGCGGGCTGACGCTCTCCTAGCCCTGACAATGGGGTGAAAGTTTACGACACACTTTCCCCCACTGACACAGATACCAATTCGCTCATTGGTTCTTTGTCGGGTGCGTTCAACTTTCTCAACTACACGGCCTAATCCAGCTCATAGAAGTATTAATTTTTAAATGCTGTGTGCGCATGTGTGTGTTTGTGCCGCTGAGATTTAACAGTTTTAAATCAGGTCGAACTACTTTTAAGGTAACCTTTTTATCACACGAAAACTAATTAGAGGAAATTTGGAGGTGAATAGGCTTCGTCCCCACCATCAACAAGAATTTAACAAAGAACAAAGAGATGGAAAACAGAGGTAACTCTTCTCGTTTGAATGGTTCTCAAAATGCTGTGGCTCACTGTGAGTATAGAAAAATCATTACTGTTTAGTTCTTATTGCTTGCTATTTGGTGGTAAAGAACTGGAAGCAACCTAAGCCCCACCCAAATTTTGGTCCACCCACCGCCACTGGTCGCAGGTGCCGTGAACTCTTACTAAAACTTAAAATGATCTAAAGCTTGGATTTCAATACATTTTGCATCTCTCCGCAGGGCTTTGTATTTATTTCTTCTACGGAATCAAACACAGCAGCTTGAACGAGACTGAACGGGATCCCCTTTACTCACCCATCGAAGATGACGCTGAGGTGCCTGACGTCACGCCATGTGTACCGGTCAGCGGAGATGACGTCACTACAGGGGATAAAGGTTCAAATCAAGACTGAAAGGTCACGACACTAAGTTAGGATCAGATCCCAGGAACCGTACAGCTGGCTGTTATATTTATTATCTTCTCTAACTGTGATTTTTAGAATAATAACGAGAATCTTTCAGGTTATTTTTTATAAGAGGTAGCAGGGAAACTTTTGTTTGGTGAAGGTCTAGCTGAGGCCTCATTGGGCGCACTGTTAGCTCAGTTTGTATCGTGTTTGACAACGGAGCGGAATGCCATGGTTCGAATCTCCTACAGAGCGTCATGAACGTGGGTGGTTTCGGGGAGATTTTAAGACTTTCCTCTCATTTGTCTCGGTCCAATCTGAGACAGATGCTGAATTTAGAGGCCTCGCCTCTTAGAACCTTTTTGTGCTGAAATGGGCACTAAACCTATCTAATGACCATAGGATATCTCCACTCAATTATTACTGGGGTCTCCGCTCGCTGTAGGGCTAATGTTCAGTTAGACGTGCGCGAAACACGATGTTAACTTATTTAAAGAGAGACTCCATCTGGACCTTTACCCATTAGTCCTGCAGCAGAATAAGCCAGGACAGAAATGTTATAAAAAGTGTTCAAAACATTCACAAAAGCCAGATCGCCGGTTATTACTGCAACACTATTTTAATGTAGGTGTTTTAATACCTTCATCGACACAATTTAGATCAGTTTAGGAGGTGGGCTTCGACCCTTCTTTTCAGGGCCGACCTGGGCTTAAAGGGATACAACGTTTCACCAGAAAGATCGAGATACTCGATAAAAGTTTTAACATATACAGTAATCAAACTCAAGTCTTCTACGTGAGATAGCGAAGCGGTTCACCGCTACACCACAGACACCAGTATCACAATACCCAAAGACGCCCGTGTTGTTTGTATCGAATGTGGATGTGTTACCGGTGCTGCTGCTGTGTTGTTGTTGTTGTTGTCACCGTCGTTTTTGTTGTCGTTTTACGGTTATCACCACTATTATATTTTATTGTCGTCCAAAACGGTTATGGTGCTCTTTCTATAGCTTTCATCATATATTCCATTTCAAAAACCCATATAAATTTCTTTAGAAGAAGCATCAAGCGTGATTTTAATTCTAAGCATAACATGATTTTAAAGTTTACGAGCGTTATGTTTTTATCTAACCCAAGCTCTACATTGTCACAGAGCCAAACTAGTCCCAGGCCACCCACGATGGAATGTGATCAGATCCCCCCTACCCCCACCCCCTCTTATCCCCGGCCCCTGTCCCTTTTCTCGACACACACGTTTACTTGGCTTTACGTTGGCTTTTATACCGTGAAATGTCGCGAGATGGTAGCGTCCTGGCTAACTGGAAAGCTTGCAAAAGGTATTCCAAGGTGTCCGTTACTCCATCAATCCATATTTTCCTGGGTCCCCCTCTTGCATTGTAGCTGGGCATTCTTGTGTTGTGGTCATTTAGGGCAAGTTGTTTGACATGCGCTCGAGTTGAATGCACTTTTTTATTAGACGTAATCCTACCGCTCTCCAGTTTCTCATGTGTGCCTTTGAAGTGAGATCTACGTCATGTTCGACACATATGTGTCATTTCGAAGGCTGGGCTCTTACCCCAATTCTCATAAGTTTGAGAAGACGAAAGAAAAAAGGAACGAAAGAAGGTAGGAATAAAGCATCCCTGATAAAGTGAGTGCCAGAGCATAAATACTAATGTGTGCCTTTCATTGGTTAGACTGCGAGCAGTTGGTCTATCCATTGCCCCTTCCCCCTCATCCCCGCCCACAACCCTGGCCATCGGAAGCCCCCCCCCCCCCTTCCTTATAAGCACCAACCTCATAATTATCTAATAAAGGTTATCGGGTACGTGTAGTTCCAAACATCAGACATTGGCACAGCTCTTTCCACGGGAGGCTAAACTCGTAAAACAATTCAATTAATGATCCATAAAAACTTATACCAGGTGCGTCTCATAAATACGTTCCACTGCGTTATATCGCTCACAAAATTTAAAAAAAATAGTTATCAAATCGTGTTAGTGCTATTCAGAAGAACAAAATGACATTGAAGTGAATGGTATTTCAGGTTACAGAAGATATTGTCTTGTGCATAGAACATACCAATTATCATACATACATTGTAGTGTATAGTGTGTGGATTTAAAGCCCCTATATATCAACATTATTATTAGGTTATTCAAGAGGCAAATACATTTTGCCCATATTTGTTACAACTATATGTAGATATTTGGTCTAGTTTGAGGGTTTTTTAAAAACCGATATATTAATTTTTTTATCGTTATCCCACCAGGGGGGGGACGAGGATGGAACTTCCACTGTCAGATTCAAAACATTCTCAAAATGAGACTCTCTTTACAAAGAGACATGGTGCCATAATTCAATAATTGGCACTATTCGAATGCTTCTTGTTGTTGCTGCCACTGCTAATGCTCCTAGTGTTTTGTTGAAGGTAATGCTCTTACTGTGGTTAAAGGCATGATAACCAGATATACGTTTCTTTTTATTTTCGGTGCAAGTGCATGAGCTCTGTTAAGCGTTAGCGGGCTAGACCAAAATTTAGCGTGCGTTCGCATAATAATATTTTCTTGCGCTCGCTCTCTCGCTCTCTCTCTCATTTCTCTCTCTCACTCTCTCTCTCTCTCTCCCTTTCTCTCTCTCTCTCTCTCTTTGTCTCTCTCCCACTCTCTCTCCCACTCTCTCTATTTCTCTCTATCTCTCTCTACCTCTCTTTCCCTTTCTCTTTTTAAGCGCACGCGTGTGTGTGTTTGTGTGTGTTTGTTTGTTTGTGTGTGTGTGTATGTGTGTGTGTGTGTATGTTGTGTATGTGTACGTGTGTGTGTGTGTGTGTGTGTGTGTGTGTGTGTGTGTGTGTGTGTGTGTGCACCCACGCCCCGTGTGTGTGCGTGAGTGCCTGTGTGTGTGTGTGTGCGTGTCTGTATGTGTATATTATTGTGTATATGTGTGTATGTGCGAGTGTGTGTATATCCGTGTGTGTGTGTGTGTGTGTGTGTATGTGTGTGTGTGTGTGCGTGTGTGTGTGTCTGTGTGAATGTAGTGTAGTGTATCTCAGTGTACCCCAGTGAACAACTGTTAGTGAAACCAGTGAAATCGAGCCGTAACCCTTCCCAGCCCCCCCCCCCCTCCGCTTATCCCCAAATCAACCCAAGTTCAAGTACACCTCTATGAGGATTCGAACCAGGGTCATACGTGCAGGGGTTAACATGACACTAACGAGGCGGGTAAAAGAATGAGAAAACGAGTGAATGAGTAAATATCAGTCGAAAGTGCCAACGTTGATACATTTTTATTATTAATGACATTCATTGTATTATTTCATGTAAAAACAATGCTATTTATGATGCCATTACATATAATTATTTGGCTTGCGCTCTGTATCTGTGAATGCTCTTCTGTTACCTGTACCCTACTTAAGTCAAGCCATTAATATTGTTCATGTTTTATGCCACAAACTTGTGATTCACGGGGAAGCATTTATGAAATACGGTGACAAATACATACTATGAAGAAAGGTGGATACTTGTGTTGTTTTTCTCTTTTCGGACCAACCATTCTAGCTCTTGTTCTTGTTCTTGTTCTTTTTCTTCTTCTGCAAGTGCTCTCTCTATCTTTCTCTTTTTCTCTCACATTCACTTCGCCCACACGCATATACACACGTTGATAGACACACACAAACACGCACACACATGCGTACACACATGCACAGTTAAGAAGATAGAAACGTATATCGATAGATAGATAGATAGATAGATAGATAGATAGATAGATAGATAGATAGATAGATAGAGAGAGAGAGAGAGACAGAGAGAGAGAGAGAGAGAGAAAGAGAGAGAGAGAGAGAGAGAGAGAGAAAGAGAGAGAGAGACACTCGTTCATCGGATATTCCTAGTCGCTTTTCTTATTAATTTCTAGAACAGCCCGTAGTTGAACGGAAGAAACAAAGTCGACCATGAAGTGTAGAGATTTTTATTCCTGGATTGCGGCTCCTCTTTATTCACTCCAAAAACAAACAACTTGAAACAAGGAAACTACCCAAACAATTCATTGCAAAGGGTGCTCGCAATGATCCACGCCATTTCACAGAAGAGAAGGGCAAAACACCTATCTCGCTAAAGTCGAGTGAGCACGGAACTCTTACCCTTTGCTCTTCATTTGAGTCAAATGTTGCGCTCTGCTGTGAACCGGAAATACGTCATAATGCACAATCTAGGACATTATTATACTACTCTACGGATACTAAACGCCCTGAAGAGCTCAACAAGAACAGTGTCAGATTCCTACTTTGCAGAACTAGGCTAGGGAATTTGTTTCTACAAAACAATAGCTGTTTTCGTTGGGGGTTTTTCAAATGACAGGTCAGATTTGATAGATACAAGACGAAGATAATATTTATATATACACAACAACAAAAATGCAGCTGTTATTGATCTGCTTTTCTTTCACGGTTCTCGTGTCTAAGATGCACGTTGAAGCAGAAATCATTCAACAAAATGGTAAGTGTTTAGTTTGCTGAGATATGCTTGCAGTGTGCATACACCCCCCCCCCCCAACTACTCTGATCCTTCCCAACTTGTTTGATAATTTTATAAGGGCTGCGCCGGGGAAGAACGACTTTGACGTCATCGTTGCTGGCGAACAGTGGCTGAAGGAGACTAGTAATTTATAATAATAATAATAATGATAGTAATAATAATTACAATAATAATAATGATACTACTACTACTACTACTACTACTACTACTACTACTACTACTACTACTACTAATAATAATAATAATAATAATAATAATAATAACTGCATCTATATTGTGCATATTCACGCCTTACATCATACGCAATGCGCTTCATAACTATTATCACTCAGCAAACGCTGGAACGCTCAGAAACATTCTTGGCCTCCTGTGAAGCATACAGTGCAAGTTGCGGATAACACGCGCTAAAACACGAACCAACGGACAAAGTCTTTCACAGTCTATAGCCGGGATTCGAACCCACGACCTTACAGTTGCGAGTCCGAAAACTTAACCACTAGGCAACTCTCTCTCTCTCTCTCTCTCTCTCTCT